GTGCTTTCTTATCATATCTCATAACAAATACATTAAGGTCCTGGAAATAAAAACAGGCCGAAATCACATGAAGCAGAAACCAACAATCTTCACACCAGCTGAATATCGAGTTATTAAGTGTACGCCATCAGATCCCCATCCCAGCGTTATTTTAAGTTGCTGGAAAAGTAATTATCGCGAACGGTATATGGACTAATAAACCGGTCTTCTTTGCTATAAAAAGTGCTTGTTAGCCGAACCGGCAGCAAAGGTTACTAACTCAAAAACTTTAATAAAATGTTCACAATAAGTAGTTCAGCAATGATTCCATTTATAAAATACAGTGCAGTCGGACAATTTAATAGTTATAATTTAAACAAAATAATACATTTACTGTAAGAAAGGAAATACGATATTTGAAGTAGCCCATGAGCAACACATGGAAATGAAAAACTGACCATTTGCGAGTTGTACAGACACAACGAGAATACGGTCAGTGCTCATGAGGGGTAGTTACTAGCTAGGTGCGTCATTTCCTGGAACAGGGATAAACGTGGTTGACAATACCACTATCGTCATAACCACTAAATACGAGTTTAGTTTTTAGGCTGGATCTGCTGGAGAGATCCTGCTCATCAGCAGCGTCATTAACGAGGTATTATCGCATAATTACAGCTGGCAATAGTTAGTCCTTATCAACTATCTAAACTGAGACTAATGCCAGTATTTCAGCATAGACCGAGACGCATCACGATTGTATCGTGGAGGAATGTACAGTGAGTTATGAGTGGGATCAGTGGGTACTGAGTAGTGTTCATGTGACCACCACAAGGGGCCACGTCTTTTGACAACATTTCATTACGTGATGAATAATGACGGGTGAAGATTAGGCTGTGCAACGTTTATTGTGATGGTAAATTATGGGATACGCCTACATACAATAGACCCCCAAGATATTTAATTGACATTGAGAGGCAACGTTGCCTATGATTTATGGCAAATTAATAATCATGATCATGCCTAGCTAGTGAGACAGAACTCAACATCACGGGCCCCTTCAAGTATGATAAATGATAATTCAAGAGACTACCATGCAATATCCCACGGTTAAGTATTGGTGCAATTTGGACACAGCAAGTTCAATGGCTAATTTATGTCACGTGGCCCATTAAATCCTTTCCGAACTCTATAGACCTAAGCTAGATTATTTTAATGAAATACATCACATCTGATAAAAAGCGGAACTACAGGTTACCTTAAACTCTCAAACGAGTTTATACATAATTAATGTGAAATCTAGTTAAATCTGGAAATAAAACACACAATTAGAAATACCTTTGAAGTATGTACATATTGTAATAAAGCTAAGATAGTCCTCTAAAGTCTAAAGTCGGTGCTATTTTGCAATATATGCACGTGACGCTGGTGAGATCAGGTGGCCCGCTAAAACAATGTTATGAATTTCGAAATAATCCGTCATTCCGTATTTATTTTATCATGTTTAAATTTATTCTTAGACAAAAGACAAATTACAAACAAACTTTCGCCCATATGTCAAAATTCAAGAAATAAGTGCTACCAAAGGATTCTATAATATACACTCAAGTATACCGCAAACCAACTGTTAACTCTATAAATCTTCTCATTTATGAAGGTTGCACCAGGCACCTACATACCGTTGTACAGAGATATGTCATCATTACTACAACAGCTCGAGCTCTCAAAAGGGAACCGCTGAAAGAAAATATCAGCGTAGATTACATAACTATTAGCGTACCTAGATCAAGTAATTATTCCTAATTCGAGTTGAGAAATGATCACCGACTTATGAAGTGCAGCAGATGCCAATAACAAGGTTGCACCACAATAAGGTGTCACAAATTTCAAATCTCAACAAACTATAAAACATTTAAACTCTTTTGAAATGACAATGTAGTGGAAAGGTACAGGTATTTATTCTAAAATGAAGTTCACTTATTAACGATTGGCAATATCACTGTGGCAACTAAATACTTAATCACTGATTTAACACGGAAAAAATGAACAGCATAACATACTAACATTGTTACACGAGACGGAATATCACAGCTTTCTGTTGTGGATCTGGATATTTCTAGATTCTATTATGTATGAAAACAAAATATATAAACCTAAAAAGACACATGACAAATGACAATCTAAGATCATATGTCGGTAAGCAGGTTCCAGGAATTTCCGGATACAGAAAATACGATTCGACACTGTTCGATAAGACATCTTCCTAAAATACATATCGTACTAAGAATCAAAGTTAAATCATAACCAAATAACAACAGGAATCCGTTTCAGAACAGAGTTTAATTTAATCAATGAAATGCCAAGGGGATTGTTGGTATCCCAAGAACATGAATTTCATAGCCGCATACGAAACATTTTGAATGAAATTACTTCGATTCATACACTCAGGGATCAATGTCAACTCTGCCATCAAGCCGGAAAGTTGCATATCTTCCCGGCGCGGCAACTTACAGTGCTAATACTAATACTCAGTGAAAAGTATTTTGGGATCATTTTGCAGTCATTCTATGCTCATAATGAAATGAAAAATAGCAAATCTATGTCCTGCTCATGTCAACAAACAATATAATGAAAATGAAAAATGACGATGCGGCTGGCACCACATTGCGCTTGTTGTGATCGTATTGCAACCACATAGCACTAAATTGTCATTTCATTAATTTTCCGCTCTTAGATTGAAAGCCCGCCCAATCAATTTGAATTGCAATGCCCATAGCACCGATAAATCGTAATACATGCGGAGTTTGAGCAATATCGGATCAATATAGGATCACAATGAGCAAACTTCCTTGAACTATCGTCTCATATATTCCATACAGCTTACAATAATAACAAGTCCTGTTAACTTGCACTGTTAGAGTTTCAGCAATCAGAAGTGCGAGCGCTTAATTTAATCACAAAACTTTCATTATGTGGTTGCAGCAGATTGGGTTCCTTCTGACGACAACAAAACAAAGCAACTACACAGCAAAATTATCTTTAATAATTTATATTAACACTCTACGTGCAGGGTGCGCTGCACAGATGGGCCTTATTATCGTCACAAAGGCAACTTTAAGTAGTATAGACTATAGCACGATCTAGCCCGGCTACTTTTATATTATCATCTCTAAAGACTAGGTAATAGTTTAGTGTTTACTAGACTCATCTTTATTGTAATATAAGACTCATGGTTTATTTAACTCCATTATTGTAACGTACACAATTTGAAACTACTGAATAGTTCGATGCTCATTACAATACGCTAACAAATGAATTGATGTGTACATTGACTATTACCTATGACTCTATAAGTATGTCATTACAGTACATAAAGCTACAGAACAAACTTAAAAACAACATGTGGGTAATAAAATTTGAGGCGGGCTACTTGGTTAGAACAATATCGCGGCACTCTCATAAACTAAAGGGACTATATTTAGAGGAGCAAGACCTGCCAACAAAGCAGCACAAGAAGAAATCCAAGCATGAGTACCCATAGTAGGATAAGGAATGGCATGGTAATCTAACGTAATTTACGGTAGTTACAGTCGCTCACTCAGCTATATAATATAACGTTACCGTATATCTTGTCAGAGGAAGGGACGTGTTAAAGCTTAGAAATGATTGTTATTAGTCTCACATAAAACGTTTGTACGAGAACTATTAACTATGTAGGATACGCGAGGACCCTGTAATAGATTACATAATTAGTCTCATATATTATATGCGAACGATCATTGAGCCCTCATGCAATAAGCTGGCTACTAAATTATACCGGTGCCAGATACAAATATTTGATGATATTCCTAGATGAAGAAGGAAGGTCTAAGTAAAGGGGAGACTGACACCTTCCATTGCCGAATAAATATTCACCAAGATAGAATCTGTCTTGGATGTGAAATGAACAATAGGCCATGACTCAGACACCTATTCAGACACAGAACACATCGTCCTAACTTCTCGTGACGGGTAATGACAATCGACTATAGATAGTGCCATAGGTTAGGATTAAGGAAACGCATCAAGCAATATGGTCAGATCTACAATTTCATACAGATTCGCAGCAGTAGGTAAATGAAGAGAATTACTAGACTCTCTCAATTTTCGCTTAGCACTTCGAATGCTCGGCTGAGCTTAATAAATGATTTGACTAAACTCAGCAGTCCATCGACTTGTGGTCAGTTCTCTAGAGACACGTGCGCCAAATGCCGAGTGCCCAGTAATATTATATTCATTACCAAATCGAATTGAGCGGCTACCTCAAGGTTGGACGATACTCGATACTCGATGGTCACTTAGCACAGATTCACTAACCTTCACACCCTCAATGCCTTATTATCGTTACAAACTTCTGACGCATAAAACGGATGTTAAAGAACTGCACGGTGACTGACCTCAGCCGTTAACCATTTTTTAGCGACTGTTAGATAGGCCAAGAGAGCAAGAGGTAGCGGTTTTCATTAGATATGATACTATTTAGCACTGGTTAGCTCCGAGTCTGATTCAACAGGGTATGATACTATACAGAATATGTTATTTTCGGAATATTATATATAATATTGGTTATGTAACGAAATATCAGACTTTAATGATTTAAATTTGAGCCAGGAAACTTGGTGGCTAATATGGTAAGTAGGCCCGAAGTAACATATTATGGTACGTACGAAATAACAATTATCATAACAAAACAGAAGAAAGTTTCGGATGACTGAACATTTCAGATACATAACAGCTGTTAATATCACCCTTGTTGATTTGAGTTAAAGATCAAGGCAACTATCATCTTATCTCTATCTGAGATTTCAACCCATTTTACTACATTCAACTAATTATTCAACTTCTTTTTCGTCCGAGTTACGAGCATCAAATATTAAGCATAGAACTATCCTACAAAAATTTCGCTATAAAAGTAAAACTTACTCAAGAATTTCGTTATAAAAATAAAACTTACACAATAATTTCATTATAAAAGTAAAACTTACACAACATGAGTTGAAGAAGTGTCCGAGAGCAACAGCTGAGGTTTTTTATCTCGAGTAACGACGCCCAGCAGTTTGACAACACCGGACATGAGCATCACAACCCCGTATGGGTCGCACACCGACGCACTGGATATAGTCTCTGACAGCTGGGTGAGTATTGAAGTGAGGGGATACTATTATCTGCAGTTCCTCATTAGTTAATATGTAAACTTCAGTAACACATCCAATTCATCACAAAACTTGACAGTCGTCATGAAGCAGCTGTTTCATTAATCTATACTAATAATCCCAAAAAGTGTGTGGGTTCGTTCGTTCATTTGTTCGTTCGTGTGTAATTTCCGAACGGCTTAACCAAGAAAACGGTCAGAGTAATGGGACTGGTTTTTTTCGGTATAGTTTCGACAAAACTCCGACGAAGCCAAATGATTAATGTTTTTTAAATCAGCCGGTGGTAATGATTTTAATTGATGGTTTTGTGCCCCAAATTATATAATTAGGTAATTTGGCAGTGGACCTCAAGATTGCCACTCAAGTATTACTATTATTATATACGTGATTATTACGTGATGGGCGCTCAGAATTAAATACACTCAAATGCGGCCGGTTTCGACTGATCGTGTTCATACTTTTGCACCGTTTTAACTTTTGCAATGTTTATACTTTTGCCATTCAACTGCGATAATGAAGTCCCGGCAGTAGGCACAGTTTACACTAGTATAGTAATATTTGTAAATGTTCACGGTTTGAGCTTCCATTCAGCATTGGCTGATTGGATACCAATTTTTTAATTAAGATATCCCAAATAAGGTATGTAAAACTCGATAAAATAAAATTTCGTCGGCGAGTGAGACATTTAGACAACAATAATTTGATGATTTTAGTTGTGACAACAAAATACCTCAAGTCGGTGTAGTATGGTGGTATCCTGGAGCAGTATGATGGACATTGGACACACTTGTACTACGTAACCCTGTATATTTCCCACATAAAGGGTAGTTTCTGATGAGCAGAACCCGGACTCTTCCACTTCCGTAATGTCCTCACCTTGGATAAAATCAGTCAATTTCAATTATAGTTTTTAATCCAATCTCCATGAACAATCATCATGCACCTCCAAGATGGGATACTACTCCCAGTTTACCAGTTAACACACCTGTTTGCAGTACGAGAGTGCTGTCAGCCTTGGCAAGGATCAGGTAAGAGTGCATGTTACTAGTGGGGTCCGTGTGGATTGTCCACATGTTGTACACTGTGGGCAGGTCAAATGTTGAGTTTATCATGGGTCGGATTGAGTTCTGGAATATTGACAACGCTCCGTTCTTGCCGTACCTGCCAGGGAAATGAGTGCTTGATTATGATTATATGCAGCACTGTCCACTATACTAAATTCTTAAAGGAGACCCTGTCAGCAAACCTTTCAAGGAATTTCCCAAAGCATTGCAAACTAAAAGTAGATAAAAAAATATGATCAAAGTTGATAAATTATTGCCGCTTGTCTAGGCCTACAATTATCTGATAACGAGTATTATAGATAACAAAGCCCCCCTGGTCCCCCTAACAAGTAACAAAGCCCCTACCCGCTGCAGGAGACAATCTCCAGATCGTGGTGATTGTTACTTCTATACTCCTCGCTGAGGAACGGTGACTCCCCCACCGTCATCTGAGTGATTGGTGAGAAATTCTGGAGACTGTCCACCACTTCGAAGGAATAGGTCGACAATCTGATGTCCTCTTTTTCTTTTTTGTTCCCGAATATTTCCAGGTCCAGGTCGTCGTCATCAAGCTGCGAAGTATGAGTTTTATACTGTCTGTGATGTGAGAGCAAGGTCAACTGGTCAAGTTTTATAATAATAAATTTCTATGATTTGAAGTAGCTGCAAATGACATTACCAGTGGTAAACCAACGACTTTTGTAATTTGTATAATACGCTGTATGTATATCTATTTGTATATCGCTAAAACAACTAAAAGTTCTGTTAATTCTTACCCGTGCTCGTTTGTTGGTCTGCTCCTCCAGGAAGTTAGCTGCAACACTTGATTTCTCTTGGTAGTAGAGCAAAATAGAGTTGCCAAATCTTGAACCCAGGAATATGTAATTCCCTGAGATTTTAATGTTTCAGTTCAGAATCGAAGCTATTATGGCTAATTACTGTTTATTTGATCGCAGATTTTTTCGATTCATTATTTGAGATTTTCGAATATTGTTCAATCGTTTATTGTTTAGGTATAGTAGGTAGTAGGTAGTATAGACGAACCTGCAGCCATACAAAGACAGCTTGTAAGAACAGAAGTAGCTGCTTTTAACCAACTGAACTTTTTAATAGATCTCATTCCATCAGAGAGAAGGGTTATGAGATATATATCTCCAGATTTCAGAGATATCAAAACTCGCTCGTTCTCCATCATAACGGCCTGGGGATTGTAAAAACTTATCAGATCACGTGATGTACTTATTTAGTTTCTTTTCCATTTGATCAAAAACGCTGCCCTAAAATTAAATCTAAAATTTATCCGAATTGAAACGGTTCAGAAATCAGAAATAACTTATATTTTTGGGAACAGTTTTAAATAATAATAATAATAAAATTTGGTAGCTTAAACACAAACTCTAAGCCCAGTGGATAAACCACAAAACTTATGCTCTATTGTGTGAAACAAAGATACTAGATCAAGATAATTATCAAGGAGTGTATGCATAGGACATAAAAAGTTTTGGAACGAAGATGACATGCTTGTGAAGCGAGCTAACAGTCTAATTGCTAATAAGTTCAAAAAGATCATGACATTAGGTTGCATCCTAAACAGTTTAAGCAAATAACATAAAGTTAAATCATAAAGTAAATCATGTTAGTAACTAACTAATATACTGCTAACCTGAGAATCATCTAGAGTGAGCATGTAGTCGCCCTGTTTTTGCAGGGGAAAATCAGTTGTTTGAGGAGCAAGGGAGTTGAGCATCACGCCAAACGGTGGAATAGACTGATTTAGATAGAGAAGAGAGTTTGCAGCAAATATCAACACACCTGAATAGTGTATAGTGTTTAGTGTATAGTGTATAGTATTATAGTGTATAAATGTATAAATGTATAAATGTATAAATGTATGTCAGATTATTCATCACAATTTAAACACACTGTAAATCGATACCATAAAATAAAATTTAGCAGCAGTGCGAACTTGTTATAAAATGTATGAACAGTATCTCTTAAATTAATATAAACCTCCAGTGGGTTTAGGGACAGGTAAAGCGTACAAGCTGTCGAATGGTAAGTTGTTTTGAGACCAAATAATGGGGTGCACTTTGTCTCTGATGTTCAGGGCTATCGCTACAATAGAACATGTATCCTGTAGGATAAAAAACGTTAGATATAATTTAGTACTTGTGATAAATATCACTTTATCCGAGGTTTATATGAGTTTAAATCAGGAAATGAAAAATAACATTTCATGGAAATCACTGCGAATTGGAGATCACACAAGTTTGTCTTGACATTTGACAATGATTAGCCATTCATCTTTCAACAGCAATCAATTTAATGAATCAATACGCAAATAATTTTCATGTTACAAAACAAACTTGTATTTCCCGACCCAGTCACTGGTAGACAAATGTATTGAAATTATAAAACAAAACACAGAACATACCCTCCGCACAGCAACTCTGCCTGGCCAAGTTCTCAAAGGCTCATATAATAGCATAATTGTAGGTTCACAGTATCCATGCAAGAACTGGAAGTCTTTCACGTTGTTTACTTTTTCATCAAGCGTTTTTAAATCTACAACATAACTTTGATATTGTGTACTATCAGTTGAGTTTTTAGCTGGTTTGATAAGCGGAACAACTACCAGCCTTGATCCATAAATCAACATTGCAGCACTTCGGTTCTCTGAGTCTACACGAACCTGGGAGAAATAAAATGTCAATATAATACTAATTGCAATACTTGGCTCAAATAACAACCGAGAAAGCGATTCTGTTATAGAGATTTCAGATTGTTCATATTTTAATATGTTATATAATTTAGCTGATACATAAACACTAACTTGAGGTGAGAAAGTTTGCTGCAGAAACATTTGGCGCTGGTCATCTTGCTCATAGTTATACAACATACGAGTTTTGAAACAGTGGGCAGACGGATCATAGTCGATAACTGCCAATTGAGCCTCACCAACAGCAACGAGCAGAGAGTGCCTCCGATTTCCAGGGTATTTGGCTGGCACTATTGAACTTATGACACCATACAGATTGCAACTCAACACCTGGAAAGTTAATAACATAATTTACAATATAAAACAATCGTCATATTAAGTTTCGACCAATTAATAGTTGCCATGGCCCATGAATCAATAAGTTGAATTTATAATTCATTAGGTATATTTCGTTTATAATTCATTAGGTATATTTCGAATATGATGCAATACTAAATAATTCTGCAGCAGCAATCTGTTACATGCTTGTTACATACTTGTTCAAGTCGATGCCTAATCTGACCATCTTCTTGCATGGGAACATATCTGAAAATCCGCAATAAACTGCCACCAGCAACGACCAAGTTAGGCTCATTGGGAGTTATAAAATAACAATTACAACAATGGTCCACAGCACTTGGGGGATGATTAAGTCTGTATACCCCAAAAACCATGATATCCTGAGAAATATTTTATTACAAATTCACTGCAATTTACAATCTAGTCTATTATTAATCATGCACAATTTACACAATTTACACATTATTTTCTAGAGAACCTTTTGAGTGTACAAATAAAGTCATCAAATATTAATTCAAGTAATCAATGTCTATCTATACACATTTTAAATAGGCATCACAGAGATTGTTAGGGGATCGTTTCAGTAAACGTTTGAATTAAACAATAATTGTCCAAGTATTTTTACGTTATATATTTTACATTATACAAGTTACATTAGCACCTCTTGGACTCGAGCAGGTATTCAAGATAAGGTATTCAAGGTCACAAATAAGCAGCATGATTAAGATTATATACATGATTAGAACTAGACGGTAATATGGATCAGAATTCTATAATAATTTAGTCCATGATACATAAAACAAACTCTGAGAGTTTGATGCAACCAACGATCAAGGATTATAGCGTATAAGACTAAACACAAGGAAAAATCTTGCCAAGTTTTATGGTTAATTCTTAAAGTGTAGAATCAGCATACTGTAATAACCCCAACTCCACATCTTACAATGTCACAAAATTTGTAGTCGCTCAGGCTTTGTAAACCACTGAAAATCATACCTACATCAACATTCACAAGCACACGTTCTCAATGAGCGGAAAACCGATCTGCAGGACAAGTGACATTATATTATTATAATAACGTATCCTCGTACCCAATCAACTGTGATACGGCCCGGCAGCTTTACTAATCTTGAGGTGACATACGATTCCAGAGCTTGTGACATTTGATTAACAAAACCTCTGGAATTTTGTACAGGCCCAGTGGCGTATTGTTGCCTGTTGGCGCCCCCCCCCCCCCCCCCCCCCGGCCGAAAAAGCGCCCCCTGTTGGCGCCCCTCCCCTCTCTAAAAAAGTGTGTATCTAGAGCAAAACGCACAGTTTTGCTAATGCTTTAGTTAAGTTTTCGAAATTGTCCCACATTCAAACGACGATTTGGTGCCCCCCTAAGACGGCGCCCTCCCCCCCACCCCCCCCCCCCACCCGCACGGCGGGGTCAGCGGGGCCCTTCGTTAACCCACTGTACAGGCCCTATGTGAAAAAATACAGGGTGGGCCAAAAGTCAGTGTGCAAACGTTGGGTCTTATTCCTCCGCCGTGTTTTATATTTGAGAGCTGTTGCTTTGCAATTTGAAAATTCGAATATTTTAGACCACACCCATTCAATATTAAAACACCTATATTGTTTTCTCTGAACATGCTGAACGCCTAATTTTTTTAGAGACGGTAGATTATCAAATGTTGCATATGATCTGAAAACATGAGGCAAAACGGATTAGAAATGACGAAGTTATCAAGCATTTTGTGTATCTCGTTAACAAAATTGACTGGGTGATTATGTGACACCGTGTCACGACACCTTAATTGGGCACCCTTAACAATTCCCATAATGTTTAACGGGGTATTTAACGGGGTCACCTTATCACGTGATTAGGTAAACCAATCACCTGATCACACGTAATGAATAAACTCGTTATGCTTCATATCTCGGTCATCTGAGATGCTACAGTTCTAATTCTTTCTGGACAAACGTAATTCGAATGGCCAAACACAATTCAATAACATTTAGCTTGATCCGACTATCCAAACTATCAAATAAATGTGAAAATGAACCTCCATTTGAAAAAAATGAACGCGAATATTTTTCGAGTTGACAAATTCCTCGAACCAGTGGTGGTACTAAGTCATACCAGAAGGAAGTATTTCAATTGGGCACTCAGTGACTGAGCTATTAAGGCCAACGTTTGCACACTGACTTTTGGCCCACCCTGTATAATATCAAAAGCATATAATCATTGAATCGTTTCAGATCACATGGAGAGAAATAGTAAACTAATCAAAATGTGTTAATATTTAAGCATAACACATGATACGAAGTTTGCAGTACGTTTCCAATCATATATCGCAAATTATAACCATACTCAAGCCCCATCATTCGCCAAATTTGCCACATACAATGTAATTTTAGTACAAACAAAAAAAGTGTTCCAAAACCAAGCTTATCAGAGGCGGCTATTGAGGACGTCTAGGCGTCCGTCGACGCCCTAAAATTATTTTCTGGTGGCTGGTGCTTTCGAAAATAGAAATAGTGATTAGTAATAGTATTCGAAAATATCTAACCGCAATATAAAGATCTTTATTGACTCAAACGTTCAAATGTAGGTGCACGCATGATCTTTGTGAAATTTTGTGTTGTATATTATAATAGGGTTCCAATCCTCATTTGGACAACTAAGCAGCGCAGTTTTAACACATAGTTAATTTTAAACGGTACAAAGCACATCAAGCGCATCCCACTACAGGTAATTTTTATGATTTGGTTGTCCAGGACACCTTATTTATATAATGTGTGCGTATTAATTTGAAGAGTCATGTGCTTTCTGTTGTCTGTGGGGACATAAACTGCGCCTAAGATTAAGTAAAATACAATTTTTTACAATTTAAGTAAAATGTTCAAAATATTAAACAAATAGGTGCTGGGCATGTAATATTTTTAATTTTCGTACACTGATTGTTATATCACTTAGCTTACAAAGCTTCCCCATATAGTATGCAAGAAGATTAAAAAGAGCACCACGCATAAATATCCGAAACTGGCGTGCCAGGTATGTTAAATTAAGAAAGTGTCTTTATATTTCAGTTTTGGAGGACTTCGCCGCTTGACGCGCCGCGCAAATTATCATTCCTACTTCGCATCGAGGCAAAGTATCGAGATCGTTGCTTTGTTAATCATTAATTCGCAGAGCAACGATCTGGAAGGGTTGACATCCAACATCGTCAATTAAATTTCAGTAAGCATAGTTCTAAGCATAGCACTATTTTAAGAGCGCCGCGCAATAGTGCACCACTATAACAACAAATACAAATATACAATATAATTTTCGTCTTTTATAAATCGAGCGCTATTTTGTTTATTCGTGTGATTTGAGTTTAACTTGGTTATATAAGATGGCTATCTATACTAATAATCCTAAAATGTGTGTATGGGACTGTTTTTTCCCGGTATATGGTATAGTTTAGACAAAACTTTGACGAAGCCAATAAACAAAGCTTTTCTAAATCGGCCGGTGGTAGGCATGGTTTAATTGATGGTTTCGTACCCCAAATGCAGTACTTTAAGTGTAGAAAGGTCACTCAAACAATATATACATTCAATTAAATCAGGTGATGCAATTGGCAGAGCACAATTACATAGGTAACGGAAATGGTCCATTGTTACCAATATTTTTGAACTTGAAACAAACAAATATATACACAACATTGTGAAAAACATAATTTACTCCATCATAGGGGCTGGAATGAGGTTGTATGCAGTGGCGTAACGTTGCCTGTTGGTGCCCCCTCCTCTTTTGGCGCCCCTCCCTAAAATTGAATAAATTAGGTGACTTTAGAGGATACGCCGGTAAAATCTCTAAATAACTGTGTTTCTAGAGCAAAACGTGCAGTTTTGCTAGTACCTCGTTAAATTTTTCAAAATTGTCCTACATTCAAATGACGATATTGCCCCCCCCCCCCCTATATAGTAGAGGCTCTTACGGGCATTGTCTGCTCGATACGCTAGGGACCCCAGATACACCTTACTAGACGTATTTTTGACCGTAGAATCGATTAAAAGTGGTTTTAAGATGATTGGACTGACTTTTTGGGGGTAAAATCGCAAAAAACCGATTTTTAGGCAAAAAATAGGCCAAAAAACCATGTTTTTTGATATTTTGAACAAGTTAATTTTGTTGGCATGTCGGCAAAACTTGCATGGAGATAGCTAAAACACAGCCGCACAAGATGGTTTAAAAATTTGAAAAATCCCTCTATTTTTTTGGGGGTAAAAATCCAAAAAAGTGGTAAAAATTTGACTTTGTTGCTTGAAGTTTGAATAATTTTTTGCAGTTGTATTAAATCAACCCAAAAATAGTCACATCGTGTTTGCCTAAATTTTTCCTTTCCGAGAAGTACCCACTTCATATACTTTATCGAAGTTTGAATATTGTCACTCCGCAAGCGTTTTTGCCGAATTTTCGACGCGCACTACGCGCAAAAGCATTTAGTTGTTATCAATTGGCATCCGCGCGTTCATCATAAATTTCAAACAGCTATAACTCAGCGAGATTATGTCTGCTCATATTTTCACACCAAATAGAAAACAATGTGATCTTATTGCTGACAAAATATGAATATAATTACTTTATTTGCCTTAGAGTAATAGACTGTCAAAGTTTAAAACGCGCATTGGTATAGCACGTGACTAATAAGGCCAAATTTATACTTCTTAACATATTATCGATCCTTAGACATCATACTATTGTGTCCAATTAGCGGTTAGGTCTCTAAACTCGTAGCAGAAAACACGTATTTTTGCCCGTAAGAGCCTCTACTACTAAGATGGCGCCCCCGTACAGCGGCGCCAGTGGTGTAACATCTTTGGGGGGCGCGTTTTGCTCTAGAAACACACTTTTTTAGAGATTTCACCGGCATATCCTTTAAAATCACCCAATTTGTCCAATTTTATCTTTTTATGGAGGGGCGCCAAAAGGGGAAGGGACGCCAGCAGGGGGCGCATTTTGCCGCCCAGCGAATGAGAAAGAATGAAAAAATGTTCTGGTCCGGATGGTGTTCATCCGAAGTTGTTGAAATCGCTAGCTTATGACAACAATTTTGTTGAAGCAGTAACGAAATTATTTCAAAAGTGTTCAGATACAGGATCTTTACCTGCAGTGTGGAAATCTGCATTTGTTGTAGCATTGTTTAAAAAGGGTATTAAATCGGACCCCTTAAATTATAGACCAGTTTCATTAACTTGTATTTTGTGTATGAAAAGTTGGTGAGAGCACATGTATTAAATTTTCTAGAACGTCGAATTTCGAAGCATCAGCATGGATTTGTTAAGGGTAAATCGTGTTTATCTAATCTTACAAGGATATAAGATAGATATGATTTCTAAAAGTATTACAAATGATTGCTTTTTTTGGAATGTTTCTGATGATTATTATTATTAAATCTAAAATAGCTAATAATTTAATAAATTATTAACAGGCCCCTTAACGTGGGCAATAATATACGCTTTATAAATTATATAAACAAATTGCAGTCTATTTTTCCAATGTTGTTAAGTGTCTCTTTAGATCTGTTTTGGTGTTTTGTGGGAGTTCCCACATTTGTTGGTTGAGAATGCTCAACATAACATACATGATGCTTGACTGCTTTATTGACCCGGACAGGCTTGATGAAGTTTTAGTAAGAATTGAGGGAGCCAGTTATGTCAGAGAAGTAAGAGAGAACATAACAATTATGTTTGGTTCCATCCTTATGTGGCAAAGAAGCGTTTTATAAATCTTTATTCCACTGGAAAGTTTTTTAAATAGGATAATGTTTTTGATAAAATTGTTTTTAAATATTGTATTTGATAAATAATTAATGTTGGTGGGGAAATATTTATTATATATTTTTTCACATAGTGCGATGATATTTTGTAGACATGTGTGATGTAATGATGTAATGATGTGATGTCATAAATTTTACTTTACTTTTACTTTAACTTTGATGTAAAATAAAGGATAAAATTTTAAATTTGTTTCCATGCAAAATTTGTTTCCATATATGAATACCTCTGGTCTCGAAATTAAAAAAAATACTTTTTGAGTTCTATTTAACAAAGTCTGCAGTTATTTTCATCACTTTTAAGGCGATCAGTGATATTTTGTTAATTGTGTTGTTTGGCCTTCATTCATTTCATCAACTGTATAAGGGCATATCTTAAAAATTACGGCTCCAACTCATTCATTGTTATTTCAATCAAAAATATCTTTACTATATTGTAAAAATTTGCAAATGGAATTCTTCTTGACTTAACAAGTGTTTTAGTTTTATTATTTATAATATTTGACCATATCTAATTGTCAAATCAAAAGAATCGATTTGCTTTGTAGATTCTTGCTCTATTAAGCTGTTTCTAGACCAGTTAGTTATATTTTTATGGCTTAAGTACAAGTCTGTGTCACAGCAGTGGTGTAACGTTACATAGTAATTAAGAAGTGATGTGATAATAATGATGTTAATGTTATAAAACTTGGATTGTATCACTACTACAATACAATGGGTCAGTACAAAGAAATGGAAACGGAAAGGGATAAATATGAGACAGACTTACACCAAATGGTTTGTATTATTTCAAGCACTTGTTCCTAATTTTGTTATATTACTCCTAAATGGACTAATCTGGAATCATGGAATTAGTCAGCTACCTCTGTAGTATCTCATTTGCATCGTTACTGTCAGTGGTGTAACGTTTCCATTTGGAGCCTCAGCTGAAATTTTTTCCTGCCCCTACAAAAATCTGATTAGATCCTATGATATTGTACCATTGATATGTACTATGATACATACAATAATTATTGGTGATTAATGAAGAGATAGTGCATAATACTGTTTTAACTCTGGTGTCAACTGTTAATTTTAAATAATGCCTTCTGATATTATTAAATCTTCTATCCAAAACGTTCATTGTATCTACATTGCAGATTGCTGTGTTCAGGTTATTATTCCAATTGTTTCAGATAAGAAGTGCACCAGTATTGACTGGTTGGGGGCTCTGTTGGTTTTCTGCAATCATGGACAGTGTAAGTTGCAAATTTCACCAGTTCGAGGTAACTGCAAAATAGATTTGTTTCTAGAACATAATGTATCTAATTGTGCTGCAAATAATGTATTGTATGTATAAGTCATATTGCTAATTGCTATTTGGTAGGTTTTTGAATTGTCAAGAATAATTACAGTTAATAAAATAAACATCAGTGCTATGTGATTAAAAAATATCATCTTGTAATTTATCATCAATTCTTGATCAGCCTTTCGTTTGATTTCTCTAACTTAATCAGTTACTAGATGTAGTCATATTATAAAAGTCATGCAGTCTGCAATAAAATAATGCCATATTTTTCTGTTGCTTGATGATTAAAACATTTCAGTACCTTGGATGGCCTCTACAATGGTATCTTGCAAATGTCAATTTGAACCCTGTAGCGAATGCAGGCCTTGAGGATGAACCAACGTTCTATCCTATTCAGCCGCCTTCTAAAGATGTCTTTACAAGCAATGCTGAACTCATTTCAGATATTGACTGGCAAAAAAAATTCTTGGCTGAAAATTCAACTCCAAGTCCTCATTATCAGAGTATTATCGATTACCACAAAGCTTTCATGTCCGGAGAGATGACCCCCGAGGAGCTTGTTAAAAACATAAAGATAAAAGTAAAGGAGTCAGATAAGCAGGATCCACCACTTTTATGTTTCACTCAATTGAACTGGAGCCTAGCCAGACAGGTAATTGTTTTAAACTAAACCTCCTCACTGATCGGTTTTAATCCACCAGTTTCCTCTTGATCTGATTCCTCTTTCTCTCCAAATATTCCTCCCTTGTGATGTTGTGGCCAGTCTTCTGGCTCACCCCTCAGCTGGAAACCCCGTGGAAGCTTGGATGGGCAGTACTTTTTTGTGAAGTAAACGTAGAGTGGGATTGTTGCAGAGATACATGCTATGACTACAAATACTATCCATAGCTTGGGGTCAGCTTTGTAACTATTTTCTTCTGTTGAGGTATCGTTAGACATCAATATCATGTACCTTGATTGGAACATTTAACTTCATTAATTATCATGTATATTGTATTGGTATAATCTATTTCGAATTGTTGGAATGGCTCACGAGCTAGTATGAACCAGAGAAGTGGCTATTATTATTAACTCACACAACATTAATCTTGAAGCTCGAGTTACTCCTCCATAGTGCAGACACATACTCTTCACAAATTATACTTAGATTAAATCATAGTTAGTTAGTGTGTAAATTTTTTCGGGAAAAGTGCATGAAGTGCTCCAATTTTTTAGTGTGTTTAAGTACGAAAAAGTGCGTTTTACTTTATGTCACTACTTTATAATAATTATAAAATTTTGACATCATTCATAATATCAATAAGGTTAAAAAGTAATATGTATTGACGTGTAACTGTCAAGTGGTATTGGTAATGTGTCAGATTAAATATAATATATATATATATATATATATATAAAGTAATAACAGTACTATTAGTACTACTAGTTAAAAGAGATCTGAAGATGAGATATAAATACGCTACATCTTGTTTTGCAAATATTTCAATAATGTTTCAATAAATGTTGCTATTTAAAGAATTAAAAGAAATACACTATATTTAAGGCAACAAAAAGTTCACAACTAAGCTTTAATAGTACGTTAAGTGCGTGGTGCTTTAAAAGTGCGTTAAGTGCTTACTAACCAACTATAGATTAAATTTATTGAATGATTGAAAGCAGTAAATACTGTTTTGAGTGTGTGTAATATCCGGATCGGAACATTATTTATTAGGAGCATAGTTGTAATGTTTTTCAGGGCACAATTTATATTAGGGCAATAAAGCATTTCAGAGGCTCATATATATATTATGCAAGATGTTTGGAAGCGTTGCCCATTTGTGCTCATTTCCATCGATTACCTTTAAAGCATATACAATATACATGATCGCCATTTTCCGGGTAGAAAGTTGAATTTATTTTCTCCGAAATGTCTTGAAAGTCAGCCTAATTCTGGTTTCCAGTGGCTTTACAGATGCGTAAAGTTAGATCCAGCATATATTTCTGTGTTCAGTGAATACAACAAGTAAACAATAAATGTGAGGTCGGATGAATGTAACGATGAAAAAGTCTTATCAAAATGTTAATCCACCAGTTTCCTCTTGATCTGATTCCTCTTCCTCTCCAAACATTCCTCCCAGCTGGAAACCCCGTGGAAGCTTGTATGGACAGTACTTTTTTGTGCAGTAAATGTAGAGTGAGATTGCTGCAGAGAAACATGCTATGACTACAAATACTATCCATAGCTTGGGGTCAGCTTTGTAACTATGTTCCTCCGTTGAGGTATCGTTAGACATCAATATCATGTACCTTGATCGGAACATTTAAGTTCATTAATTATCATGTATTGATATAATCTATTTCGAATTGTTTGAATGGCTCTCGAGGTAGTCTGAACCAGAGAAGTGTTTTGTTAGCTCGAGTTACTCCGCCATATTACAGACACATACTCTACACAAATTATACTTTGATTAAATGCTTGAAAGCAGTAAATACTGTTTTGAGTGTGTGTAATATCCGGATCGGAACATTATTTATTAGGAGCATAGTCGTAATACTTTTGGGGCACAATTTATATTAGGGCAATAAAGCATTTCAGAGGCTCATATATATTATGCAAGATGTTTGGAAGCGTTGCCCATTTGTACTCATTACCATCGATTACCTTTAAAGCCTATTATACATAACCACCATTTCTCGGGTAGAAAGTTGAATTTTTTTATTTCCTCCGAAATTTCAGCCTAATTTTGGTTTCCAATGGCTTCACAGATGCGTAAAGTTAGATCCAGCATATATTTCTGTGTTCAGTGAATGCAGTAAATAAACAATGAATGTGAGGTCGGATGAATGTAACGATGGAAAAGTCTTATAAAAATGTTAACCCATAAATGGCCACTTTTTGTAAACAAAAAAGTCCGATATTGCAGGGTGAGATACTTTATAACACAGCTGGAATTTTGTAAATACCAGCGGATAGTTTATGGTTTTTACACAACGGTTTGAAACATATCTGGTTCGATGGTATTTCTGTTATATGTGAAATTTTGACTCCGAAATATTTTGTATCAGGAGGCTGATATGATAGTCAGTAAATTGTAAAACTGGCTAAGTTTCCAACTCAAACAAAATGATAACAAATGAGAAATGCTGCTGTCTGTGTCCATGTCTTCAGAGCACGTTAGCGAAAGAATTTACTTTTGTCTCAATGTGTAAACATTCCGCTCTGGAAGAGCTCAGGAGTCAGCCCTCATTGCTGGGGTATAGCACTTAACATATTTTAATGCATTACACCCTACACACTTAATGTACAACACTTAATGTACTATGACTGTAAAAGTCATAATGGGACAAGGTACTTACTGTACAGTGTACAATCTACAGCTGCTTGTGTATCTTTCATTCACTTGCTGAGTCTTATACTACAGAGAACATTTATTATTGTATATAATTAGATATTATTGTATTTAATTACTTTTTTATTCCTTTCGGTAACTTAAATTTTTCTTACAGATAGTCATTACTTCAGGCTGCTTCAGAGAGCACTATTCGCTACAAAAACAAAACGCCTCTCTCTGTGCTAGATGGTATTCCTATCGGAGTAAAAGATGAGCTGGATATAAAAGATTTCAGGACTAACTCTGGACGAAAGAAAGATGCGCCTGTTAATGAAAAGGACTGTGCAACAGTTGCTGCATTGAGGAGCTTGGGTGTTATATTTATAGGTAATGGTTTATATCATAGTATTATAGTTTAGTAGTATATATCATAGTGAAATCTTACAATTATTTATAAATTTATAGATGTGGATTCCGGTGGAGTGGCGGCAGCAATTTACCGATCAGCATTCACTATTGACCAATCAATCCCCAGAATCATTGTCATATGTCAAAATAATATGCTTCACCTCCCGGCTCCCCACCAGAATCCACATCTATAGGTAACTCTAATTAAATAATTAATTTTATTAATGTATTTGGTTGAACCGCTACCATCAGCTTATAAGCCACTACTTTGCAGGAATAACAAATATGCACGAGATGGGTATGGGAATATCAGGAATAAACCCTCATAAGGGGACAGCCAGGAACCCTCACAACCCCCAGCATATTACTGGAGGCAGCAGTAGTGGTAGTGCTGCAGCTGTTACTTCTGGGATTGTCCCTTTCGCTCTTGGTTCGTTTTTGAAACTGTGGAAGAATTCGGGCTCACATTTAAATTTAATTTCTTCGTTTTAAAACTCAGAAAATATAAAATAAACTCTCTGTCATAATAGATATGAGTAGCTGTGTTTTTCTACAAAATACTAATCAGGAACTGACGGAGGAGGGAGTGTTCGGATACCGACAGCTTTTTGTGGAATGCAGGGCCTGAAGCCCACTTTTGGTCGTGTTGCTGCCTCCAATACAGCCCTTCAAAACTCTTCCACGACTAGCATTGGTGTTATTGCTAACAATGTTGCTGACGTTGCTTTGGTAAGTTCAAACGCCAAAGTTTGCTCATAATAACACGAATAGTGAATCTGCCAAGTGCCAATGTTTTCTTTGTAATTGTTTACCAATCGCCAGGATATAATTAAACAAATATTTTTATAATCAGAAATAAACATCTTTCAGGTAATGAGCTTGATGTTCATAAGAGCATCAGACCCCCGTTTCTTTAACCAAGGAGTCTGTAACCCTGTAAGGGCTCTTTCAGAAAAGTCTTTCTCAGAGATGAAGTTCGGAACTAATTCTCATTACGTGTCTAACTCGCACAAAGAAATACAGTATGTCTTTGAGTCCATTATTAAACCAAAATTACCCAATCTCATTGAAGTTGAAATGAATGAGTTGTACATGAGTAAGATAGCCCACTTGAATATAATCCTGGCTGAAACTGCCCAAGATGAACGGTGTTGGCAAGAACATCAAGGGACGCTTGCCCCTCAAACGAAGATAGTATATAGTACTTGCCGGGGATTAACACTTCGTCACTACATGCAAAGCTCTGCCCAAAAAACACGGGCTATCAAAATGTTCAAATCGATGTTTGAAAAAGTAGATGTCCTGGTTACTCCTACAACAGCATGTCTTCCTAAAAGGATTGACCCCAACTCTCTGTCACATGGCGATCTGGATGAAAATAACATCCTGATGACGATGTGGTTTGTGTATCTAGCCAACTTGTGTGGGCTGCCCGCTATGAGCATTAATGCAGGGTACTCTGAGAATGGTTTACCAGTTGGAGTCATGTTAACCGCTCCATGGTGGAGAGAGGACCTGCTCTTCTCTGCAGCAAAACATCTGGAGACAGAGCTCGCTAAACCTAGCAGATTCCATTGTCCTGTTTCAAAGTAGAACATACAAGGAAATGGACATGATGGTGCCCCCATATTACATGGATTATTGAGGGTACATACTTCATGGGAGAAAAACAAAGTTCTACCTAGCATACCTGAACTGATTTTGTTGTTTGTTGTCAATCAAAAAACCAATCAATCACTTGCATCAATAATATGATATATAATGTATTATATAATGATAGGTAATATACATTATACAATATAATACATGTAGCGTAAAATATTAGCGGTACTTAAATCTTTAATCGTTCTTTTCAATCGCTCTTTTCTCTTTAATATATCTTTGCAAATAAGTTAATAATAGCTTCAACTCGTACTGAATACTACAGCTAAAGCTATAGTAGGACTCTATAATCATGATCACCTAGGAGATACTCTGAAAGACCTTCATTGGCTGCCTATAAGTTACAGAATTCGGTACTAGTTATGTCTTACTGGTAAGTGGTATCAGGTATGGGGCCAAATTATTTATGTACTATGTTTAAATTTGCACACTATAATTATTACCCTTAGAGCGTTTCAGAAAGATGGCCCTACATTATGGAATGAGCTGCCTTTTAAAATTGGAAATCGCGTGCCATTGTCATTGGACTCTTTTGAAGTGTATCTAAAAACACTTATCTACAAACGTGCTTATGATATTGATTTCTAATTAGTTTATTTATTAATATTAACTAATTAGAAATTACGTAATATGTGAACAACCCCTAAGCTTATGATTTTGTACTTGTGAAGAATTATAATCATATTTGTCTAGTAGTGATAAGAATGTTTAATAATTTTCAGAATGAAATTGATATGATATGGAGTTTTAAAATTGAAAGTTGATTTTGTTGCGAAGCATGAGTGTTTGGGAGTTGGGAAGCATCATCGCACTTGCCATTCGTGGTAAAAATTGCGAGATTAATTTTCGTGATTTCAGTTATTAATGGCAAGAACCAGTGAATTTGTACGCTCAATCGGGGTCAATTCCAATTGCGATTACGTTCCTCCCTACTCTTAGAATTTTAAGGGCGTATGCCTGTGGATAATGGATATGGTTGATCAAAAGAGTGGTACTTGTACAGAGGCAACATATAAAGATATAGGCGAGGTAATATTTTGCAAAAAGGGCGATTCCACCCATACCTACAAATATTTATGTACGGCACATTTGAAGACAATAAACACCGCCATTAGGCTGAACAATTCGCCACATTTTCAGCCTGGATTATTCGACAGCGTAGTATATGACGTTGCATTACACGATTGTTGAGTTCAACACAACAAATAACTTGCAAGATTAATGTCTTGAGCAGAGTTTCCTGACAAGTTTTACAATTAGTTTTTACAATAAGATGGGCAGGATGACTGGGGCTAGTTGCTGTTTATGAGCATAATTGAGGCACAGTGTTCAATGTAATAATATTGTAACTTTACAATATTGTCTAATTACAACTTTATCTATATCTGACTTGATTTCGATCTGTTGAGGGATTACGATCCAACTTGACGAGTTATTCATTTCCCAAGATTCGCCTTCTTTTGTTTCAATTGTCGATCATAGCATTTTTTTTCCGGAAGAACGATTTTCTATATGAGTTTTACTGATTTTTAATAACAATATTTACACGTGCCCGGTTAAATATTATTTTTACCAACACACAGTTTCATCACCAAATGAACGTATTTTGAATTAGATATACCTTAATACCGTTACTAACATAAATTATTTCATTGAGACGTGATAAATTTTATTCTGTAGTATAGACTGTACTATCTCGATGAGCAACAAACATAATATACACTTATATGTATAATAGGCAGAATTTACTCGCCCGCTCGCGCTCCCAATAGTTACCCTCGTTTATATCGAAAATAAGTTTCATACTATTTACGTCTTCAGTTTACAAATCAGTGAAACACAAACATACTATGCGGGGGGACTACAGACCCCCTCAAAGTCCTTTACAACGTTACTGCCAGGTTACATAGCACTGAAAATCAATATCATCAGAAATTCAAATTCAAAGCAATGCCGTCATAGTATTACAAAGCCCCAAAACGCAACAATGCTTCGAACTCTATTATAACATGAGCATGCAAATAACATAAATCATCTATAATTTTCTGAGTGGAGTTGTACCCCATTTATAATTACTTACATGCTACGAATTTTGACTGATTAAATTTTGCATTTGTTACAATTTTCACGTTTGAGTTAATAAACTGTGATGATTATGTAGTTATATTATATGAATTTTACTAGCTCGTGCTTATCTTAAAGTTAAATGTTTTTACAGGCTCTAATGATGTAGTTTTACGAAGATTTTAAGCCTTACGTTGTGTGTTTCCCTTCGTGTCCAAAAGCATTATAGACAATAATTTTAAGCTGAATCCCTGCCCCCCCGTGCTAACCCCTGATGCTAACCCCTTACATTTCTAGAGCATAGGATGGTGTCGCTAAGTTACTCAAGCGTGATGCCCCAGGAGGCCCCGCCAGCCTGTCTAATTTTGGGAGAACAAGCTAACTTACAGCGGATTAGCTTTAGTGATGTTGAAAGTCTTATCTCTAACAGAGTTTCTGCTAAGGTTAGTTTTAGTTTTATAATTGGGAAATTCTAGCCGTAGCTCTATTCTTTTATAAAATTTTCCCAGATGAAATTTTCGGTTAATCTTGAAATTTGCATGTATGAATTTGTAATACTGTATATAATTATAAACGAATAATAATAATAAATTGAAATTGAATAACACCGCTTTTAAGATAAATCTTATACTCAGCAGTGTTTGAACATCCAACTATAATAATACGTTTATAAAGAACCAATAAAGCACAAGATGATTACACTAGACTCGACCAGGTGTTTAACGAGGTGTTAGCAGACATTGGGGAGAGCGAGGGAGTGAGTCTGTACCCGAAGGCAGTTTCCTTGGCGACGCTGAGTAGCAAACACTCTCGTCACACCACGCCCACAGCCGCGCATCATGTCATGGACACAGTGTCAAAACACCTACCTAAGAATGGCAACAGTGCAGTTGTCGTGGTCAGTCATTCACATCTTCAATATCTACTTAAAATAAGAACGTGATAGTGAACTTGCAACACATACTTTTTTCTTTTGCTTTTACTGACCTCAGTAGAAGCAGATGTTTGCCTGGTAGTGGCAGTGCCAGTCTAGTGCTGAGATATTTTCCTGGAATTTCTAATAATCTTTATCCACGTGTGCAGGTTGTGTGTCATCGCCAGCACGTGTTCGCGTGTGGTGTTGCTGTTGCACGTGCGTTTCCCACATACTCTTTGAAAACACGTGATGTAACCACTCGTGACGTCACAGTTTGCTTCATAACTCCTGACGACTCATCCCCTCTAACAGAGCAAGACATAAAGGTCCTAACCTCAACTGCGAAATGTAAGTTTACGTTGTTATGGATATCAATAGATCAGAAAAACCATACAATGTTGATCGTTGAGGGTCGAGGGGGGTTTATCTGGAAAATATCTAAAAAGAACAAAAAACCCCAACAATTGCACTGCTAAAACTCTAGTAATATTATAAGAGTCTTAAAATACGTTGTGACATGTACAGTGATAATGTTCACTCTGTAGCTTGGCTTTCAGGATTGTTCGAAATATCTGTGTACAAAGTTGTACATGCTACATTGCAGTGTTAATCAGGACAATTCTGCAAGGTAACCTGGAAAACTTTGTTCCAAGAGATAAGGAATCTGGTGTAAACCATTCTCAATTATCATGCTATCTTCAAAATATTAATTCACTTCGTTCTAGAATTTTGAGAAATTTCCATCAGTTTTTCATAAAATTCTGTTCGAATTTCATAGACAAATTCTGAATTCATGTTTGAATTCGACACCTTTTATCTCAGTTAATATATATATTATATACATATATATGATAAATCACATGATTTCATATTATATAATACTAGCAGGAACCCGTGAAATATAACCCTAAACGGTGTCAAGACTCAAGATACTGAAATAATTATTACCTATTTAATTGGCGTTTTTGACACCACTTGGGGGTCCAAATTTTCGGCTCTAAAACCATTATTCCTCGGCCAATTTTTTATTTTTTCATGCTGATTTGGAGGATATTAAAGCATTTGACCCAGCCAAAAAAGTTTCAGTTGTATATCTTTTACGGTTTTTGCAGAAAGTTGCGTTAAAGTCGATGCCGTGGTGTCAGTAAAATGGCACAGATATATATATATATATCGTCTCGCTTTATATATAGTAAGATATATGAGATCATGTTATTTAGAGGCTTATATCGGAATTCAGATTCCTTAGTTACCTTATAAACGAAAGCAAAACTACATTATTGTATGTTGACCCTATGTCCTAATAAGGTGCACGACAACATACAGATAAACGATCATAATTATAACTTACAATTAGTTGACTTATTATTATTATAAGTCAATTTAGTTGTTTCGTAAAAAACGTGTAAAATGTGTATAGAAAGTCATAATATTTCCTTAAATCGTTATTCGTAAGGTTATGTTACAATCAGTGTTTTCACTGCCAGTGCCACAGCGCAGACATTTGTGTAATTAGACAAACTTTAAATGTTTTATGGTAGTGCCGCTACCAGTGTCCCGGGTAAGAGTAAGTCTGTAACCTACAGTCTACACGGATTTGCTGACCAGTGGACACTGGAAACCCACCACATAAACAATGGCCTGTTTTAGGACATTAAAATTTTAAACACACAACAATCATCCTAAAATCTGCTCGCACATGAAATATTAAAACCCCCTCAACAGTATGCCAGCGAAAGCAGGATTAATGAACGAATAGTGTGACATTGGGTTCTCAACCATGGAAATTTAGAAGTCCCTACATGCTGTTCTTTCTGGCTCCATGTGCTAGTTAGGGGTCTGAGGTATCCGAAAAATCATGTTTTGAGTACCCAAAGTGTTCTGGGTGCCAGGAATGAGGTTATTAAAGCGGCGAAAATGACCGATTTTGGACTATTTATGAGCTTTTTTGCCCATTTTCATGAGATAAAGAATCAGGAAAGCTGCTCTAGATGATTGAAATGGTTGATACCAATGAGGATACACCCAACACACATAAATATTCGTGATATATGTGATTTTAATGAGAAAAATATGATCTCAGGGCCCATTTTATACCAAAATTTGCCAAAACCACTCGCACTTGTCAAAGCTTCCTCATTTTAGACACATTTAATGATTATTATGGTATCTAACTTATGGTGGATCTGATAGGAGTATGTCGTAGCTTCATTTTAAGCCATCAATGAGCATGCTGGTGTGTATGAAAGTACTTTTATCCTCCCGTGGCCGTCCATTGATATAGTCTGGGCCATGCGCGCGCGCGCTTTTACAAACATGAATTTTCTCCCACAGTATCTATCTAAATCTTTTAAAGACATGATTTGAATGCTATCCTACTCAGCACATGAGTGCTACAGGATGGTGAAAGAATTTCTATAAAAAATCGTTAAATGTGGAAGATATGAGGTCATTATATGTGTGTGCGCGCGTGCGCTTTTACAAACTTGATATCCTCAGTCCTTTCACATATACTGAGATTTTGTTTCAAACTTAATTGACTCTGAACCGAAATTGCCAAAGGAAACAGATAGTGTAACTCAGAAAGACCACAAATGTATAGTTTGTGAGATATTGAGGTTATACTCCAAATAATTTACAATGATGTCACACCAGAAAACCTCTATTTTTGGTATATTTAACCTCATATCTTGAACGCGCAGTACTGGATTGAGCTAAACTTGGTCAGGTTTTGTAGCCCTGACTATCCTCGATCATATGGAACAGGAATAAAACTGTTTAGATGTTCTATCTTAATTATATTAGGCACTTAGTTCTGAAAAGTGAGAATGTCATTAATACTGCTTTCACTGATGCAATATAATAGCCTTTGATAACTTGCAATGACATCACACATTCCTGCAGCAATTCGTCTGGCAGCCGACATAGTGGATCGTCCCCGTAACGAGATGACATGTGACGACCTGGTGAAGTGTGCAGTGAAGATAGGACGAGATCTGGGGGTTGATGTGACGGTTGTTAGCGGGGAACAGCTCAAGGAACAGGGATTCGGAGGTCAGTTGTTAGGTTGCAATTGTTGTTGTGTCTGTAATATAGATTACAATAGTTATTGTGGCGGTTAGCTGTCTGTGGTTGCATAGTTATTGTCTTATTGTGTTAGCCATAATATACTCGCCACAACTGCACTGTACAATGTACATACATCAAAGAAACTACTGACTGTGACCGTGGTGACCTAGTGGGGGGGGGGGGGGGGGGGGGGCGTAACCCCATGCCTATTTCCCAACAATTTTTGGTAAAATGGACATGTCCTTAAAAACAGCTACAAATTAAGTTATGATAGAAAAATAAACATCCCCATTTTGTTCGCCGTCCTCTAATTAACAAATACAGCTAAATAGAGTATGGTGTCAGGAATATTTCTTTTTAGATTTTGACCAAAATAATTATGAAAATGATACCCATTTTTCCCTCAAGTTTTGGTCAAATGGGCATGGTCATCGAAGGGGTTGTCTCACACACCCAGTAACTTATAAACTCTTAATTACTGACTAGTAACCATGGTAACACCCAGGTATCTACGGGGTTGGAAAAGCAGCCGAGTCTCCCCCAGCTCTCTGTGTTCTGTCTCACAAGCCTGCAGGAGCTACTAAAACTATCGCTTGGTGTGGCAAGGGCATCATGTACGATACTGGTAAGTTCATCTTCCGTTTCTGTCAATTTTACCTCCAATATATAACAAACATATAATAGCGCTCGCAACTCCATTTGCGAGCTGTAATTTATTCATGCGAATGGTCACTTTTTGGGAAATTGTCCGTGTTTTAAGCCGTTGCCGGGGAGATTTCGTCAAGTTTAAAATATAGTATAAATAATGTGAGGTTTTGATGATGATTGAAAATATCACAAGTCTGATGTTGTGATAGTTTATTAGAATGTCTAAACTCTGATCGTTTAAACATGTTTTAGTTTATCTTGAGGACTGAGGTTGAAGTATGTTTTGGTCAATCTCCAAAAATTGTTTAATTTTTGCTTTTTGTCAATTTCAAACTCAACGTCGTCAGTGAAAGCTCATTAAAAGATATCTATGAACGTTTTAGTACATTTCCAGACTTTATTTTGACATAGAACAACTTAATCGCTATGTCCAGGTTCACAAACACTTCTAGAAGGTTCTCCTTTGTACAAATTCATACAAAATATATGAGTTGTCTCATAACGTCTACAGTGAAGTGCGAAACTACAAATCTAATGGTATTACCCTGCGTATTTGGTCACAATAACAATTATTGTAGTTTGTCAGACTAATAACGTAAGATTAGTGCCCCCTGTTCTCCGTGCCTGATATCGGTCCTGCTCTCAGCTCTGTGCTACTACATACTACATAGTATAGATCAAATTCCTTAATCTTGTTGTAGTTGTATTGTCGCGGTTGCCATGATCCCGTTGCTCTTCACTCTTTTCCCTAGCCTGAGTGCTTCTCTCGATCTTAAGAGCAGATTGTATTACCAGCTGACAGAGGGAATTATCTCTGTTAATTATAATGATTAACTTAGACAGATTTATGGGACCTATCTCCGTACTTCTACTCTCATATCAGCGAAACTTTAGTTTCTCAGTTGTGTTTGACTATTTTCTTATTTGTTTTATTTAACTCATGATGTCGCATGAGTGTTTCGTACATAACCTGTGTCTCAATCCCTGTTTCTATTTTAGCTACTTGCTAAATATTCTTGTACTCGACGTTCATGAACAATGAACCTGAGTGTTGTGTATGAGTCATTCCCGAGCCTTCCCCTATCTTGGCTACTTGCTAAATCTTATAGCACATGACAACCACGACAGTTCTAAAGGGGCAGGAACCTAAGCATGTGACGTGTCTTCATTTGTAGCGAGAATAATATTGCTTGAGTATTAGGCGTGGGAAGGATGTTTGAAATTTAACTTATTGACCTTTACTTGGTGATATAATTGAAAGTGAATGGATTAGCATGTTATAAGGTATACGAGGTTTTGTTCTCTCAATTTCCCAAGCGTGTCAGCAAATCAAATAAACTTTAATAGTTTGATTCCTCACCTCAAAGTATTCATTTTAAACAACTCTGATTCTCTAAATCGGCTTCTCCAAAACAAGTGGTCATGTGACCAAAGTGATCACGTGACCAGCCGCCAGACTGACCACGTGACTCAGATCTCATTGAGCGAGCAACAGATGACAAGCAAGTTTTATTGACTTATCTCCTCAGTATGTTCGTCTCCGTTCGTTCCTCCTGCTAATACTTGCTTACAACTGGTTTTTGCCAGCCGTACCGTCTTCTGATTGGTCTAAACACAATAAAAACCGCTCTTTCCGAGGGAGGATGTTTTTATCGTTATATATTTTGCTTTATAATATGAGTGCAATATACTTGCGGTTATATCCTAAGGCGTGATTCGTGAAGTTCTCCACCGAGCATATCAGCGAGAGAAAGCTTTGTAACTCGATGCGGGATATAACCGAGCAGCTATGAAATGGTCTGCCACTTTCTATTAATCTATTCATCTCATGTCGCTTATTTTTATTTAAAGTACAGTGCTAAGTGCACGTTATGTTTGACATAGTGATCTCTACAATTTGATTAAATATGTTGCGCCTGTTTTGATTTCTGTCGCTTGACTAGAAATTTTCGAAGATTTTTAAGAATTGATTTTTCGGCTGCTTGAAAAACGTGTTTCATTGCTGTTGTTTAATTTTCTAATTGAGCTTAGCTAAATTACTGGCTGTGCTGTTTAATAAACATTGATTTAACATTCAGCTGAGATGTATTAAGCTACAAGTACACAGTAGTACAAGGCTACAGCAGTCTCACACGTCGACTGCCACAACTCCTCTAGAACGCTGCACACTCTGTCACTCCAAGCCATGGTGGCTATATACTCCCTCAAAAGTAGGGACACTGGCCTGCTCAGAAACTCCCGACTGATGGGAATCCCGGAGTTCCGGTGCATGGCAAACGATGTTGAGATGTATAGACGGTCTAAAGTCTGTTCATTTGGGAGCCCCCAAAAGTTAAACGGGACCAGCGCGTTTCAGGAGAAATTTTACTACATTCTCAGTGATTTACTGTGGAGGGTTTGTGAGAACTATAACGAGATCTCACAAGCTGATTTCTATAAGCTGTACCGCTGGTTCCACGTGACTAGAAAACTCCTGAAACCGCCACCTCCTAAACCTGATTATGTTTCCCCCTTTGCCAAGAAGGACGGCCCTAAGAAACCCATGGCCACAATAAGGATGTTCACGAGGAAAAACTTGGCGTCATACGAGTCACTGTTAGCTGAACAGGATACGATGAGAAGTAAAGTGGACCCAGCCCGTTACTTGGGATCTCATGTTAGCCTCACCGACTCATTAACTTCCACCCTACGTCTGGGATCCCCTTCCTTAGCAAGATCCGGCGATGCACTTCTTCTTGCACTTTCTGAAAACGAGAAAGCCGCTGAAGGTGTATCAGAAGGGCCTGCTGTTTGGAATGTTAGGAATGAGAGTGCTGGCAAGAGCCGGACTCTTGGTACCATACGACCGGAGAGAAGTGCTACTGCTCCTCCATCCTCTCTACAAAGACGTTTTACTCAACCTACTGTCAGCGGACAAACAGCGAGTACTGATTATCTACCTAACATAAGTAGGTCTCAGAGTCCCTCCAAAATTAGAGCAGGAGGCGAGGTAGGTGAAGTGGATGCGGATGTGACCATAGTTGATGCTGATGCAGTGTTGGATCAAGGTTCGGAGCTGATGTTCCGGATGCAGGGATCACCAAGTCATCCACCTACACCTCGCGCTCATACTCCTCCCCTTCCCAGTGTCGATGTGCTTTCGAAGCGACAGTTAAAACTAATAGGAACGCACACCACTTCGCCTAGCATTTCCCATAAAGCCCTCAATATCGACAAGCCTCTTTCAGACCTGATAAACTCTGATACCATCTCCCCAATCCCAAAGCGGGCGGTGACTGCCCCAGCTCCTGGTATAACAACGTCAGCTCTGTTTGAGATGGCCGGACAAGTTGGTGAAAGGATGATGGTAAATAGAGCTCGACTTCTGTTCCTACAACACAACGCCAACCAGGGCCCCGAAAATGCCGGAACCTACCAGCCTCAATCCAAACCTCCCACCGCTCCACCAGGGTTAAATTACACCACTCCCCTTCCCTCTGTGCAGGCATTTGACAGCAAAACAACTAGCGGTATATCTTCTGAGAGAGCAACTACCGCCCCAACTTCGGTGACTCGGCCCACTATAACGATCAGAAGACGAAGGAGTATTAGGTCCGCCAAACTAAGGGGGTCAGCCAATACTTCTCAGAGCGTCCCGGGGAGATGTGTGAGTAAAGCAAGAGAGACACAGCTGACCGAGGCCTTCACTATCAGAGCGGTGACCCCACAAGCACCCTCCAAGACCCCTCATCCCCTCACCCCTCCTCCCACTGCCTCATCAGTTAGCACCCTCAGCTCTACTTTCACCCCAGATGAAGATGGTGCATTTGAGTTCAGGGACATGCGCTTACAACGTACTCCACACAAGGAGAGATGTGCTAATTACAAGGACCCGTACCAGGAAACAGTTGGTTATCTCACCCTAGAGGACGAAGAAGATGACATTTCTCTTTCTCAAACACCTCTTCTTAATATATCTCATGATGGATTCTCGTCTTTATCTTCTTTCCTGCCCTCTAATACCAGTCTTATCAGCTAGGAACTCATACATTGTACTAATTAGCCTGGCAGAGTGGCAGGGTGTTTGGAAAGAGGTGTTTTCAGTGTGTACTTAATAAGATTTTTTCTTGATTTGTTATTTGAAATATTTTAACTATGTGAAATGTGTTATTGGGTTTTCACACGGCTGAGCTGCCCGATGTTTGCATTTGCTCAACAGTAATGACTGGAACAGTTAAACTCACGCCAATCTTATAAAATGTTAATACTTTGTACTTTTATAGCATACTTTTAAAAATAAAACAAGGATTGTTTATAGTTGTCAGACAATATTCTGCTGAGCGTATCAATAATTCAATAGAAATTTCTTAAAGATTTTAATACTAATCGTCATGACAGGGAAACAATAATTGCGTACTCCATTCGCGATCGATCGTTTACAAGTTTCTATTCAATGTCAGTAAATGTAGCAACATGCTTTCATGATATTAACACGCAGCACAGAATAGAGAACTTAAAACGTGCTATCATCCATCAACTATAAAACGTCTTAAACATCGTTTCACGCTTGATGGCGCCCGACTAAATAATGGACAGTCTCTTGTTTTCAGTCAGCGTGTTAAAAAGTCGCTAAAGCTCTAAAGGAAAAGCTAGTACAGTAACATCAGCTTTTTATGATTTGTGGGCTAGGTTACTCAAGTTCACTAAAAAACCTGTCTATAGAACAAAGTGATAACAGCTTAGTTTAAAACAGATATCAAGAATACGTTGAGTACTGTTCCGACTATAATATATAATATCTAGTATCTATTGACGGTAACATAATATGCAGGTGGTTTCTCGATCAAGACAAAGACCGGAATGCCTGGAATGAAGAGAGATTGCGGTGGAGCGGCAGGAATTCTTGGTGCTTTCCAGTCTGCTGTGAGTATCACATGATGTGTGGGGCTTTCTCCGTGCTCTTCCTTGTTTCTTTAATTGTGCTATATAGCGGCGACCACAAAGGAAAGAATCCTTTGATCGTTTTTTCTTTCATGTTTTCGGTTTGTATCCTGAGGTTTTCTAGTCAAGCGTCTTGAGTCAATTGACAAGAGATTTTATTTGAAAATTCGAACAGTTATAAATGAAATTTATAGAAATAAAAACATTAAAAAGGTAGTATTTAAATTCACCTTCATCACATTCACCAGGTTGAGTGTGGTTTTTCAGAGAACCTTCACGCAGTGCTCTGTATTGCTGAGAACTCAGTTGGACCGCGCGCTGCTGTCCCTGACGATATCCACATCCTCTACTCAGGCAAGAGTGTCGAGATCAACAACACTGACGCAGAGGGTCGTCTCGTCCTGGGTGATGGGGTCGCGTACGCGCGCAAGGACCTTAACGCGGATATCGTGCTGGATATGTGTACTCTCACAGGAGCTCAAGGGTTAGTTTACAAATTCTTATTTAAAATTGTATGATTTATTTGCTCATTTGAATTGCCTGTTACATCATTCACAAATCACCATTTCTTGGTAACTGTATCTTCGATTGTGTCACGCAACAGCAAAAATCATCATTTCTTAATAATTGTATCCTTGCTATTTTCACGCAATTATATAACGCTTTGAAGTTAAATCATTTTCTTAAGAATGACTACAATGTGTATATATCGTATTATCTGGAATTAGGAAATTGCCATAAAACCTGCTTCTGTGGAACATTCCCCAATATTCCACAGAACCAGATTTTACAGCCAATTTCCTGCAATAGGTATAAAAGACTCGCCTTGTAAGTCAGAGCAGGAAGGTGTGCTCGAGAAGCTGAAATACATCCCTCCTTCACACGTAACAACTGAGTCTCCTTTTATCTCCTTTTCATCCGCACATTTAACTGCCACCACCTGCTTGTGAGGCACTGGTAGAGATACTGTTGCAGGGTCGAATATCCACGTAGCCCAATCTGGTCGTTCTGTGCAATCTGGTGATCAGTTTTAACTGTCAGAAATTCACTTTCTAATGTATCTTCTAAATTACCTTTCATTCTTCAAATGAATTTTTTTATGCAATATATAAGACAATTTGTGACTTAATAATATTTGTTTCTGCCTGAGAATCAGTGCATGATGGATAGACTGCAGTACGTGGGGGTTGGATACGTAATCAGTATCTAGATATCAGGGTCTAGAAACTTCCAATATATTCAAATATAGACATTTGTAATTCAAACCCCCTCCCATCCCCCTAGCACCCTTGTGACTGTATAAGGAAGCACAAGAGAAAATGGGGAAAAAATTGATAATGCGCTCTGTTATAATACTGAGACATCACAATTATTTTTGAGATAAGCCCTTTTTATAAAACGCGTACACGTGTTCTCCAAATCCTTCAAATTACAGATTGAGTAGAAAGGTAGAGGACACGTGATATCAAATAATCTGAAAAATTGTAAAGAAACTTCCATCTTAAAAACCTAGAACCAAAATTTACTGTGAAAGTTCGTCTAACTAATTTATAGTATGGATATGAAATGTGAAGTATGAGCTGTAACCTTGCCCACAAGTGGGTCTCTCTGGTACAATCCACTCTGTTCCTGTTACACACGTCAAGACTCTGTCTCCACTGATAAGACTGTAGTTATCAGCACAGGACACCCTCACCGTCTCTCCACCTCGGACTGGGAATTTGGCTGTTGTCCTCATGTTGTGGTAATTCTCTGGAAGACCAGTACAAACTGATGAAAACTTCGTTAGGACAGTAGAATGCATTATTTGCACTTTTATTACAAATCAGTTACTATTAATCAGTTTAAATTTGCTCATTCTCATAACCCGGATCATATCCTTATTATCAACTTCTATAACAAGCTCACCTTTACCGCACTCTAACATTGTGGTCGGATACAGGTAATCTTTCCAGCCATTACACGTTATCACGTCATCCCCAGACAGTTTCACGGTTCCTGCTTTGCAGTAAACGTTGATTTCAGTCCCGTGTGAGACCGGGAATGTAGCGGAAGTTATCACAGAGTTTTTAGTTGTTGACTCCGGCAGTCCACCGCAATCTGAAGGAGTGTCATGGAATATAAACTGAGTTTTACTTTACATATGACCTTCCATAGCTTAGGCAAAGGTAACTTATTCAGAAATAGTCATGGTTTCGAACTTAGTGAAAGTGAAACTTAATTGTTATTACTTCGTTTACAGACAGGCTTCTCAGTGAAAGTGAAAGTGGTCCCACTCTCACACGTGAGCGTTTCGTCTCCTCTCAGATCGTAGTTATGTTCACAAGTCACTGTTATCGGTGTACCGGGAGGTACGGAAAATTCTGTCTCCGTCTCCACGTTGTCCATATCTTTTGGTAATCCCGTACACCCTTCCGCTGTGGAAAAATATCGTTAATTATGTAGTCATATTGTACAGATCAGGCCATGATAATTTTGGGTAACCAATTTTGCTAACTGCGAGAGAATCGTGCGTCACAAAATACTGGAATCGATTCTGACTAATGGCTTCTCTGTGCCTCATCCAAATGGGAACATAATTAGCATAGTTACTTTAGAGAAAGGTCGTCAGAATGTACAAAACTTAGGTGGAGCATGCTATGTTATTCTAAGGCATTGTTCTGAACAAGTTTAAATAGGCCGGTTTGGCGGGATTAATTTGTCCATCTATGCAGTTGTTACATTGATGTCCTTATCTTACGGTGTGGATAATTGAAAGGAAAAGCTAAAGCCAGCAAAGTTTCTTTACATATTTGGGACATGATGCTAAGTTAATCTTAGGATACCCAAAATAGAACCAGATTTCCCACAGCTTATCTTATCACAGAAAAAAACTTATCTCTCAAAATGTATTATAAACTGTTAGGCAGTCTCACCGTCTGTCATGATCCTGAAGGAAGCAGTAATTCCCTGTGAAGCCTGTAGCTCTATCTTTATCCGCTTGATGGACTTTGTGAAGATTGCTTGACGCAGCTCGTCAACCTCCTCCACGTTACAATCATTGAGTTCCAACAGACCAGGGAGAGGTACTTCAACGATAGTGGGGATCAAAAAGTCCACTTGTCTTAAATCTACCTTCAGCTGATCAGGAAGAAACATCACACCATCCAAGTCTTCTTTACAATGCTTGATTGAGGCTACCGATAGTTTTACTTGAAGCTGGGATACCTTTATTTCCGCCACCACCGCATCGTTGTCTTCTTTCATAAATTGAATTTTCATTTCAAAAGAAGCGGTTGTGGGATTTGTTGGCTCCGTGAACTTTACTTCTAGAGAGTTCTCTTCTGGGATGAAATCAGAGTATGGATTGTTACCATTTTTCAGGTTCTGCCAACCTAAGAGAATGAGAGATAGTTATTTAGCAACTTCCTCAACTTTCGTCGTGTATTTCGAGGATTTCCCACAACAGCCGGCTGCAGCCCTACCTTGTCCTTAATATTTATAAATATAAGAGAAGTTTTGAAATTGGAAGAACCATCCTAATTTCATAAAATATTAAGATTTAACAATAAAGACATGACTGACCTTGTGAGGTGGCACCAGAAGAGAGAGCCATAAGAAGGAAAGTTATAACCATAATCACTGAAACGTCGATAAAACCATTAATAATTAAATCAAAATAATGTTCCCTGCTCTCTTTGAATCAACTGTTCTGTTATTCCAGGAAGTTTCTATATTTTATGTTCGAATAAATATCATAAAATTCGTACCAGACGCGGACAATATAATAACGTTATTCGACTCTACGTGTCGCACTACAGTACGTTTAACGTCGTATGATAAAATTATTACAAATTTTGCCGGTTCTTGATTGAGTTAGGCCAACTTCTTGAGTGTATAGCAGCGTTAATTTCCCTTTAAGTTGACTATTGAGTAGTGTCAACAGCAAGAGTGCAGTGTAACTTAGTTGTACAAAGGTTCTAAAACTATATACTGTATGACATAATATAATATACATTGTAAGTTATTTCAAAAGGTTCTCTAAAGAGTTAAGAGTCAAGAACCTGCTCTTCGTATTTTGCCTTGCCTTCACAAAGTAAAGTGGTCTGAATATTGAATATCGAATATCCTTTTTAAACGATTCCAACTTATTTTATTAAATCTAAGGATATCTAGGTTTGAAACTAACATAGAAAATGTTGCATTCAAAATCATGTTCTACACTGATACGATATATTATGAAAAATAATTATACGTAATAAGAATGGTTTATCGACCAAGAAAAAAGCATAAGGAGATAATATTGAAATTGTGCCACTGAAAAATATCCTATTCTTTTTTAACTTAAAAGTGCTCGAAACAACCACGAATTCTACAATTGTTATTTGAGGATCCATTTGAGGATACTTTTTGAGGATACTTTTTGAGCTGAGCCGAAGAATTGCCCACTAGTATCGTTACGTTAAACAGACTCCTTGGACCTTCAATGATAAAGTGTAGTGAAGATCATCATATTTTGTTAACCTGATCCACATACCAATTAAAAAAACAATAGCATTAAAAATGAATCTCCTTGAGCCATAGCCCTACAATCCCCTTAACACCGTATACTGTCTCGACTAAAAACAAACAACACAGAGTAGTATGTCGAGAGTTATTTTCAGAGAGCAGTGAGGCCGGAGGGGAGGAGTATTGTTACGGTAAACAGACTCCTTGAACCTTCAATGATAAAGTGGAGATTTGTATACTCCCGACACATGTAGCTGGTAGCATTATAACCGTATTTCTATCACGATTACTTCAAGAATTGAGCCAATTTTCTTTTTTGTATTTAAATTACAATTATTTTCATCGTATCTCGACAAAGTTAGCTGTCAAGAAATGAGCTAATATTCCTACCCAATCTCGATCACAATGCTTCAAGATATGGGCCAGCATCAGAGACAACACCTAATGTGAGGCAAAATGGCTCGAATGTATGGCGGGATATAAAACTTGCTTGAAATTGTTAATTGTGCGGCAAGAGGCAGGCTTGTCAGATTAAAAACCTTCCATTTCAGATAAAATTAAAAACGTTGCAAGTCAGAGTACCAAAACTTGCCAGCTTTACATGGGCCATAGGGTTTCATACTTAAGATTACATGCAAAATTGTGCAAAACGTTTCGAACTGTTTCGGCTATTAGTACAAAAAAGTGCGAAAACAGGTTAATAGTATCATGTCACACCTGCCGCACTTTATACCTCTGCAGTCGCTAAAATTCAATGATTTTCAAGCCGGTATCGTAGTAATCACTGGTGAAAAGTAAACAGAGTGTGTGGACTATGGAGTCGACTGAGAACAGAGGCGTATGGGGTCCAGGGAGAGCAGTATACGTTAGATAATGACAAGTTAACCGCCATGTTAGTGACTATCTAGTAGCGGGAATAACTCTAGACTCTTCGTCAGCTTGAAGGGCGACATGCTAAACTATTTGCTGTATAGGTCGCTCCTCTAACATAACTAA